TGATAGAATTAAGGCTACACAGGTAGAAAGACATCTGGCTGCCCTCATTTCAGTGAGGCTGAGTGACATCCCCAGCCGCACTCACAGCAGCAGAGCGATCTCCTGCCATTGCGCCACTTTGACGCATGGAAGATGAGGCTAGGCAAAGCACAAAACAGCTTAAGAGAAATATTTAATTATTCTGAATAAGAATTTTTGTGTTTGTGAAATTCTCTTGAAATGAAGTTCCTAACTGTTCTGTGTTTGCTGCTGTATCCCAGAAGATGTTCTGGACTTCTTGGACATCAACATTCTTGGACATCATCTCTTCTTGAGTTTTGCGGGGAGAAACCTGAGAAAATTGAGACGCTGGTCAATTTTTCCCAGATCTCTTTGCTTAATACTTCTAAGATTGCTGCATTTGTGGGAAACAGGGGTACTACTGTACTCCACCTGCAAGTTGCAAGTGTAGTAATTTGGGGAGGGTGATACTTAACACCTTCTGCTCAATAGGAAAAATACTTTGAGCATCGATAAGGCAGTAGTAGAATGTATGCATTAAAGTGCTGACAGCCTCACAGATTTAGTTGGTATGTCTGTACTAACATTAGATGTATGCTTGGGTGTCTGCAGGAACTGCCCTGTAGCACTAAGTGCTCTTGGTGTGTGCTTGAGGTTTTTTATATTGATTTGTAAATAAGCAAGTTTAGAACAGAAGCCACCCCATCTCAGACTTCATTTTAGCAGCATAATTGCAGCGTATATGCTAATGCTTTTTGCCTGGAATTATTACTCCTTAAGGATGGTAAAAGGATAGCCAAAGTCATTCATTCTGAGAATTAAAAAACAATTTTTCCCCGTTTTAAAATCAATAAAGAAGAAATTCTGTAGGGGCTTCCTTTCATTTGTTCTGATATTCAAGCTGCCTAGTTCTTAGTAGGTTTTTCTTTGTATTTCCTTCTTTATATCTCCCCCAAGTGCAAAATCCTCAGTAGTAACTTTAGAGTCACCTATGAAAATCAGGGCCCACGGTTATGGTGTCAGTTTCACATTAATGAGTGAGTCTGGTAATACAAGGTCATTTTGAAGAGTTTTAAGCTGCACTATTAAGGGAGCATATTTAAAACATATTTGGTGTCTTTTGTTTTTATGTCCCAGTGAAAAACAGTTACATTTTTACAGTTGTCAGCCTCTTTTCTGGCCCATTTGGATTAGACATGACTCAGCCTACCTATCTTGAGGCTTCTGGAAGCAGTTTCTCTTGGCCCAACAAGCTCCTTAGGCCTAGGAGCCATTAGAAAGCTGAACTGATTGCATATGGGAGGAAGGAAGGCAGAGGGGAGAGGAAAAGAAGTGGGCTGCTGGTGGAAGAAGGAGTGGTGATCAAGGGGGGCAGAGGGCAGTTGGGGACAGAGGGCAGCAGCCTGTGGCTGACTGGGCCGGCATACAGTCTGGCAGTGGGTGGGAACTTCGGGCCCATGGGTGGACTGGGAGCTACATGTAAAGTCCTGTGTTGGTCACCTCTGCCTGCTCAGGAGCCCTGTTGAAAGTTACTAGAGTCTTAAGAGCAGCGGAAAGCCGTGAACTTAGATGAGTTGAACAGGTCTGCAGAAAACCACAGAGGACCCTACCTCGCTCATCTCTGAAGAACCCTCACATTTTCCCACCCAGCTGTTCTGACTGCCGAGGTGACATGAAATGGGCATTCCAGGGGCTAGCAACTGGGATTGGAGGTTTCTGTGAAGTCTTTTTATCTTGTGAATTCATGCAAATTTTACATTGTATTCCATAAATGGTCTGTTTCTTTTTAATAATAAAACAGTATCTTACTTCCTCCTGGACATACAAATATCTCTGAGGCTCAGGAAGACACACTGTTTGCAAACTGGCTTCAAGAGCATCCCCCCAACTCTACACACTCACACTCTGCATTAGGGTACACAGTCCTGGGAGGAGTCGCGGGAGCACAGGCATAACTTCACTCTTGATGACCAAGGCTATGGTGGTGATGGCACCTGAGCTGTTGCCAAACTTGAAAGGCACTTTTGTAGATTGTGTTACTATTAATTACACAGATCCATTCAGCCACCTTTGCTCAGTTCTAACAAGGAATTTCAGTATGAATAGAGACTTGGGGGGTGAGGTTCCAGGCCTCCCTGGGACATTTGATCCCTAGAGCCATTTTCTTAAGGTTCCCATTTGTCTTGATCGGATAGCCCACTCTTCTGTGGGCACATAACGCTATTCCCTCTCCGAAAGTTACCCTGCTCACATGTGTTCTTTGCCGACTTGCTTGGATGTTTTAAAGAATTCACAAAAAATGTTACATAGTTCCTGACCTGTGGCAACCAGCCAGTGAATGTTGGCTGCTAGTTTACGGTGGCAACCATGACTGTTGTCATCGCTGTAAAGTGAGTATACTTGCCACATGAGGCTTCTTGGTGGTACCAAGGTACCTGATCGTTCACTTGGATCTTGAGTTGTAAACAGGTGAAACCTTTATAAAACTAAGAGATACACATGACTTGCTTGATGATTAAAGAAAGTGGAATACTGAAATTCTTGAGTAAAATGATCAAATCATTAACAATGCTAGTGGGAAAACTGACTTCAGGATCACAGTGTTTAACAGTATGGCCAACAGTATGGAGGACTATGCCAGGATCAAACCTAGTCCATGCTGCTTGGTATATGTGGGTTGGATGAATCCCATGGCTTGAGACCTCAGGATGGGGGTGGACTATATACACATGCTGGATTAAGCAAGACATTTGAGTGCTACCAAATGGTCATTTAGAATCCATGTAAGAATTCTGAACAGGGAAATAAAGTCTACTGCTTGGTTTAGACTGTAAGAAAATATGCAAGCCGTTTTTGTTCATTGACTGGTCTAAATTTCCTTTTTACTTTCCTAGTTTCTAAGAACATACACCCTTTCTCAGCTTTCTGAGCACACATTTCCAGGCACTTTGGGAGGGGAGGTGGGGAAGTGGGCTGTGAATCTGGGTCTGGGAAAGGTGGCATTTTGCGAAGGAGACCCGAGGAAGTTGGCTGCCTGAAGTGCCATGGTAGGGGCTTCGTAAGTATTAAAGGTCATGGGATGTAGAGCTAAGTGTGACCTAGGGTGTAACACATGTACAGTGTAACACGGTAGGATTTAATGGAGGAGGTCAGGTAAATTTCTTAAGACTCAACCCAGATCTCTTGGTTCCAAGTCCATAGTTCTTTCTAATATGTAAGACTTTAAATTTGTGGAGAAAACTATATAGGCGAACACTCTTAGGGAAGATGTTGCCTACACATCTTTGTCTTTCCTGTGTCAAAGTCTTTATGTCTCTCTACCTGTCAAAGTCACATTATCTTGCTGTACTTTAATTGTACTACATAGATACTTACGTACAATAAGTATAAACCATTCCAGAAGCAAATGCCTACATATTTTCTCACCAATCTTAAAAAGAATTTGTATTTTAAAAAATAGAATCCTGCTGTTTTATAACTTTCAGTGTGTGTGTGTGTGTGTGTGTGTGTGTGTGTGTGTGAGATGCTGGGGTTGAACCTAGAACCTTGCATATGCTAAGCAAGCACTCTACCACTGAATTACATCCTCAGCTATTTATAGTTTTGTTTAAAATAATATATATGAACAGGTATTTACATACTTGGGTTGTATATGAAGGCATCATTTAAAACGGCTCTGCAGTAGATTCCATCATTTAGATATGCTACAACATGCATGATTAAAGCTTTTCTTGCTGGGTAGCTAGTTAGCAGCTTTTAAAACAAGTACCTAAAGTGCAGGTGCTCCTAGGAAGATTGGGGTCCTTGGTTTTTCCAGACAGTTGGAGTTAGTTAGTATCTGTTCCTTACTACTGAGCTGAGGAAACTGCGGGAGGATGGCTGTGGAGCCCCGAGACAGGTGTATGGAGGAAGGGCTGCAGAAGTGGAGTAATTTCAGCATTTTACAGAAGAGTGGCTTTTATTCTGATTCTGTAGCCCACAGAAGCTGCTAGAAGACTTAAAGCTCCAGGCATCTTAAGAACTGCAGCTCTTGGTATGTGGTCATTGTGCTAAGCATTGGTGGAAAGGCTGGCACCCATGTCCACATACTGCTTTCCAAATTGTGGGCTCCCTGTTGCCAGATAATAAGACCTGTTGGCTTAGTTGAATGGAAGCGAAAGGGCAGATGTCAGCAAGGCCCAGAGACTGGTAGGATGCCCTAAGGAAAGGACAAGGGAACAGACATGGCTTCAGGCCGGCCGGCCTCAAACACAGGGAAATTAGTTGCTGATTTGTGAAAAAGCCTGCAAGGTGACATCGAAAAACTATTTCATTTCAGGAACTTGTGCTGGAGAGTGATAGGGTAACAACAGATAATTCGTAAATACAGTGCTCTGAAGATATTATTTTAGCCAGTAGTTTCAATGGTAGTTTAGAACAGTATTTCTCAGTTACAGAATGTGTGAGTTAGCATCTCCTATGTTCCTGTAGTCAAAAACCAGTTGCTTCTATGGGAAAGGGAAGATGAAACTGAAAACTAGGTCTTTGTGCTCCTGCTGTGTGTCAGTGAAAAGGAATTTCACTTCTCTGATTTCTAACCCTTCAGTAAAAGGATGTTTAGTGTCAGATGTTTCTTGAAGTTTCTCTTGAACATAGTTTTTATTTCTAAGCTTTGCCCTTAACGTTTGTGAGGTCGAATTGACTGTATTGCCTCGACCATGAAAGATTAAGCAAAATGCTGATCTTGTCCGTTTATGTAACTTTAAGAACAGCATCTTGAAGGTGTCCCTCTATCAACTAAAGCACAAATGTCTCAGTTTAATATATGACTGCATCAGAAAAAAAAAATGCAACCACAGTAGGTGACCAAAGGAGAAGTAACTTTCAGGAATTTTGAAAGCCCAGTAGTATTCAGTATCTGCTCTCTCAGCATTAACAAGGTCACCTTGCTAGTACATGTTAATTTTGAAAGTTTAATTGACCTTTGGAATTTTAATATCAACCTTTTTTGGTATGTTTAGAGGTTGGAGCAATCACAGAAGAAACGGAAGCCTGTGATTGGTGGAGCTTGGGTGCTGTCCTCTTTGAACTTCTCACTGGCAAGGTAAGCAGCGACCTGGACATTTAATAAATGTGTCCAGCTGCCACCTTGACTTCCAATCGAGAATGTTAGCTTTGTCTTTAGTGTTTAGGTCAGGGACTAAGTAAGAAAAGCTTTGATACAAAGAAAGAAGCAAAGATAAATGCAGACTTATCAAGATTCTAGATTTAAAATAAAAGTAGAGTTGTATTTGTTTGAATAAATCAGTGGTAAAATTCTGTTTTGTCAGTGTTACGTAGCCTTTATCTCTCCTTTATTTTCTATGCTTCAGCTTTGAGAGGGTCAGATCTGTAAGGTTTATAAAAAGAGTATATTAGAATTTTCTAGATGGTTTTAATATCTAAAACCAAGAGGGAATTCTAATTTTTAGAAAATCAGTGTCATTATTAAAGGTAACATTATCTTTTTTTCTCAAGACTGAATTTTTTTCTATAAGTTCTAGCTTAAGGACAGGATTTATAGTCTCTCTGATCAATAACTTTTAAGTATGATGTTTTATTTTAATAGACTTCAGTAGGCAGATTGCCTCGTGGGAAGAAAACAGAAGAAAGGAACAGTTATGGTTTTGCAGATGTCTGCCTTAAATATGTAAATACCGACCAGCCGAAGATTGTTGTGAAGTTCACAAATCACTTTACATATATTTAAACTGTAAAGTGTTAGATAGCTGTAAAGTGTTATCTCTAACATTCTAAACTTTGAAGGTGGTTTTTAAGAACATTAAAATGCTTCAGTGATTTCAAGTCCCTTTTGCTTTTGTGTATAATTGAAGCTTTTCCTTTAGGAGCCTCTGGTTTCCTAATGAAGGGGAGAGGACAGTTGCCTGTGATGTGATTGTGGGGATGGACTGCCTTTGTTTCAGTTAGTTTTGTAGTTTCACGGCCCTTGGCCTGCACTGCATAGATGGCTCTGCATTGATTACTCGCCCCTGCTGAAGGCGGGGCTTGACCTGACTACTGGTTGTTAACCCTGTGATACAGCAGTGTGTGACATTACCTTGGATAAGAAACGTATCTGATTGATTGTTTCAGACTTTGGTTGAATGCCACCCAGCAGGAATAAATACTCACACTACCTTGAACATGCCAGAAAGTATCTCCGAAGAGGCTCGCTCTCTCCTACAACAGGTAACTTAGTTGACCTTTATTGGCCAAGCTTTTCAGCCCACAGCCCCAAAGCCTTAAAGAAATTAGTTATGGGCAAGAAAGACCCATTTATAATTATATATTCAGAATTAATGCTGTGGTTTTTTAGCCCTCTGCTACTGTCAGTATTTTCTTGGGGGCCAGAAAATGTAGTTAAAACATGTTGGGATTAAACATGATTTTTTTTGGAAAAAATTGAAATTAATATTTGTCAATCCCATACATTTGTATAGGTGTGAGATTTGTGTATTGCTTTTAGCTTTCTGGGACTGCTCTGCTTTTGCTGTTGTATTTTATAACCATATAGAGATGCTATTTTCACTTTTTTTTTTCTTAAACAAAAGACACATTTCACAACACTTTAATTCTTATTTATAAATAATAATGGAGGGCCAGTGAGATAGCTTAGCAGACTACAGCACCAGGTTAGGCAAGCACAGGGACTGTGGTTCTATCTCAGCACCACATGCTGCTCCAGCCCTGCCCCTAGGGTGGGCTGAACCGGCCAGATTCTAGGCCTAGTGCTACATGCCTGTAATCCCAGCGCTTGGGAGACTGAAAGGAGGATCACCATGAGTCCAAGCTGCGTAGTGAAACCCTGCAACAACCAAAAATACATTAAAAAGAAAAAAATGGTAATGGACTCTTCAGGCTCCCAAGGACAGAAGTATTGTTGTGACATTCTTGTCAAGTAGAATCCCCCACCTGGCCTCATCAGTTGATGTCAGTTAGTACATTTTGAGTGGCTTTGAAGAAAGAGACTTGATAATTAAGGTTCAGTACCCCAGAGACAAGCTTGGAACTCTAGTGAGTGCTTTAAGATGATTCCCATGTTTAAAATACAGGTTTAATAACTGTTATCTGGAATGATTGAGATCAGAAGTGCTTTTCAGATTTGGGAGGTCTTCTAGTCTTGAAATATTTACATAGACTTTCCTGATTAAGCACCTGTAATCTGAAAGTCCAAAATTTGGAATGCACCAAATCTGAAACTGTTGGATTATGATGTCAAGATTCAGAAATTTCAGAGTTTGGAGTTTAGGATTTGAGGCCTTCAGCTTAGGGACACTCCACCTGGACTCCTGGAGGACAGAGTGCTCTGTGATTTTTGGGCTCCTGGGAAATCAGCAGGACTTGCAGGCAGGCCTCTGTTTGCTTCCTGAAAACATGACGGAAGCAGGGTGATGCGTGCCCGTCCTGGAGCACTCAGACAGCAGAGGCAAGAGGATCCCTTTGAGTTCGAAGCCAGCCCAAGTTATGCAGAAAGACACTATCTCATGAGACAAAATAGACAAAACATATGAACGAGGAATTTACCTGAAAAAGGTCAAGGATTAAAATTAACTAACAAAACAGACTTTTTTTTTTAAAAAATCAGGAAAAACAAAAATAAATACAGAGGAGGGAAATATATATTAAGAAGAGAATTACCTTGTATTCTTTGAAAGAGAAATTTTGGTTCCATTCAACAAATATCATGTGCAAGGGATAATGTTCTAAGCTGCAAAGCTCAGAGTCCCAAATAGCTGTGCCACAAGATGGCACGTAAGGGCTGGCGAGAGAGCCCAACAGATAAGTGCCTGCCTGACAAGCATAAGCTCCTGAGTTTGATCCTGGTACTGAGGGAACAAAAAAAAAAAAAAAAGATGGCATTTAGTAAAGGAGACCAGACACTATAGCGGATGTCAGGACTCCAAGATGGCTTCCATTGTACCATTGGAAGAGAAGAGACTCTTGGATGTGAAAGTAGGGGAGCTGCCCAGCTGGATACTGATGCAGGATTTCTCCCCCAGGGGCACTGCTAGAGCATTTCAGAGAGGTTACAACCGGTACTACAACAAGTACATCAGCATGAAGAGAGGGAGCATCGCCGGGCTGAACATGGTGCTGGCAGTCTACATGCTTTTCAACTACTACCTTTCTTACAAGGACCTCAAACATGAGCGGCGACACAAGCTCCACTGAGAAGGGGCCAGTGTGGAGGGCGCACTCTGCACTCTAGCCTGCGCCTGCCTCCTCCTGCTCTTGTCTGTGAACAGCTTAGTCAAGGCTCAGTGTGTTCATAGCCTAAATGAGAATTAATGCTCAATAAAAGGTGACTGCTACAAAGATAAATAAAATAAAGGAGGCCAGAGAGGTTTAGAAAATACGTTGTCTGGTTGAGGACAGTGCAGGGTGACAGTTGGTGCAGTGGTGCTTCAGTTCATAGACGTCATTCTTTCCATGCACAAGAACTGAATCAAATTCAACAGTTAGGTTCAGTGTTGACCTTATAGGGAAGTTTGATTTGGTTCTGGTTCATTTTGGTTTGTAACCAGAATCATGCAAAGAATTAAGTTTGTGAACTGAGGCATCACTGTATTAGGGAAAGTTTTGTGGAGTGGATGTTATTTTGCTGGGTCTTAGCACTTTAGCAGAGCACGGTTAGGGGTGGGAGCCTGTGTGGAGTGGACAGTTGGAACAAAGGCAAGGAAGGAACTGGAAAAGCCCAGTGAGAACTCAGAAGTCAGGTTTATCTGGAGTGGAGGGACTCACAGAGGGTAATAGTGGTAGGTGAGTAAAGAAAGTGGAGCTGGGGTTTTCTTACGGGGTTTCACACAAGGGTCAAGTGATGTCATTCACCGAAACTTTGACATTTGGAGCTGTGCAGAGGAGTGAAAGCATCAGGGTTAGCCTTAGGAAGATTAATTTGCCCTGACTATGTGAAATGTGAAGAAACATAATCGGGTTAGGAAGACAGAGAACATCAGAGCTCTGTGGACTAAGGGACAGTGAAGAAATACGTAAAACATTTAATGCCAGCAGGGTGGTGGAGGAACAGTTACTCATTTCATTTCACCCTACTTGTGTGGCATAAAATAAACTCAGAGTAATTTTCAGGTGAATAATTTAGAGAAAACTAGCAATTGCTACTTTATTTCTTTTCCCTTCAAAGTAGTCATATTACACAATACTGAAAATAGAATTCCCTGGAACAGTTCGCCAAGTTCTGCTTCTGTCTTTGTTGTAAGTTGCTTAGCAAAGGAGTCTCGGACTGGTGAGTCCTCATATCCTGGTGCACGTTGCTGTGTAGTAAATCAGCGTCTGTCGCTGGCCTGCCGAGGAAGCTACCACTCATGTTGAGGAAACATCATCAGGAAAGGGAAAGGGGGTCTCTTGGCATGATTAGCAATTTGTCATTTTGACTTTCCTCTTCCACTACCTCACAGGTCAGAGAGGCCATTTTTAAAAAGTCTCAGAATGATTTATATGGAAATAATTATTCTGCTTTGGGGAAATTTTCTCCTCTTTGGTCTTTCAACTTCTTGCTTTGTTCTTAGGTTTTGTAATCTCCTGAACTCAGGGTTCGGCCATCTGCCCCTGGCAAGTGAATGATGCTAAAGTAAACAGTTACTTTTTAAATGCAGTTAAAAAAAAATCTTCCCACACATTTCTGTAGATTTAGTTTTGGATGACACAGGTGCTTTGTCAGGTGAAAGATACTATACAAGGAACAGACCTTCCAAATGAACTCCTGGGCCAGCTTCCTTCAGCTCTGTGGCCTGTTCTTCCTGAGCAGGGAGTTGACAGTGGCAGTCGCAGATTCTGATCTTTTTTTGGCAAAGAGGGTTTGGGATAGGGCCTCGTTATATAGCCCAGGCTGGCCTCAAACTCACAGTAATCCTCCTGCCTCAGTCTCCCAAGTGCTGGGATTACAGGTATGTGCCACCATGCCCAGCCTTAGGATTCCTGATATTGAATGTGTCACTGGCTGTCACTTTCTTTTGAGTAACTGAATCTTTATGTGATCTCTAAATGGCAATAAGCAGATAGTCATGGATTAAACAGACTTTTACCTGTAGATCTGTACTTGTAAATAAATGGAAGAGCCTGTGAGCTAGTCAAAATTCAAATCTCATATTTGAAATCATGTTTTGGAAAGAGTTGAGTAAAAAAGCCAATTGAAAGGGAAAGAAAGACAGAAAGAGGGAGAGAGAGAAAGGGAGGAAGAAAGAAACGACATTTATTACTTCAAGTATTTATATGCATTCCTGAAATACAATGGAATATAGTTAATTCTTACCAATATTTGATATGTTAGCTTTTATTAAACATCTGATGCCTTTCACATTTCCATCAGTAGGCAGGGACTGTCTGTGAGAAGTGAGTTTAATGCATTTACGGTCTTCCTATGATGTTTGTTTTATAATAACAGCTTTTTTGACACATTATAGCAAGGTCTGATATAAAAGTTCCTTGAGCACTTAGCTTTATAAACAGTACGCGCGTCATTGTGAGTGCTAGACATCATAATTTCAGGTGGAAAGACTGTTAGTATGGTCCTTTTGAAGTGTCCGCTTTACTCCCTCTGTGGAGTGGGAATCCAAGGGAAAGAATAGATTCTTGGTGCTCACTGGTGACAGATTGACGAGGTGGTGCAGTGTGATGCAGCGTGGATTTGGGGGCCAGAATGCCTGACTTCAAATCCTTCCTTTGCTGCTGGCTGACCGCATGATCGTAAACAAATTAGTTAATTTCCTGGAGCCTCTCTCTGTCTTTCCTCAGCTGTAAGAGAAACAGTCATCGCTATTTGTAGAGTAACAGTGAGTTAGGTGAATTAACCTGTGCACGTAGGCTGATGTGTGGCCTGTCATGAGTGTTATGTTAGTGCTTTATTATTATTGATGGGACATTGTTGAAACTTCATGGCAATTCGTGAAGAAGCAAATATTTGAATTATAGAACGGTTAATAGAAGAATGAAGCAACTGCTGGTATTATGGATTAAAAGATTTAATTAATTAATTAATTAATTTTTTAACCAGGGATCGAACTTGACTTTGTACTTGCCAGGAAGGTGCTTATGCCATTGAGCTATTTCCCTGGCTAAAAGATTTTAAAGTACTGGATTGACACACATCAGGCAGTCTGTTGGTGTTCATTCTTCACATAATTGGATAATCAATCATGAATGAAAATAAAATTAAAAAGAGAAGAAATAGAAAGCTTCATTAAATTTGGACAGCAGAACTTCCTATATGTGTTAAACACGATTAATGTTGCAAAGAAACCTTTTCAGTACTTCAGTTGTACTTTGGCTGTTTGTGGAAAAATTATCTATGTTGGCAGCAACTTTGAGTGGCTGTGCCTGCACGAAGATGCCGACATTCCCCGTAAGTGTGGACTTTGGGCAGCAGTGGGCAGAAGGCAGGAAAGCAGCAGTCATTTCAGTGCTCTGAGAATTGATCAGAGGATATGGGAATCTAAAAGCGTTAAAGTGTGAAAGGCAGCCGGACTCGGGGGAGGAGCAGTGGGGTGCTGGCATTCTTGACTGTCTGCTCCTGCCCCGCCCTCCACGCTAGAGCAGGTACAAAGGTTCTGCCAGGTGGGGACCAAACCTGAGGTTGTGTGGGTGCAGGGGCAGGACGGGGGCCCAGCAGAGGGAAGCCTGGCATGCCTGCCTTGGTGGCCTCAACGTGGGCCATGTTTTCCATGTAGGGCAGAGCACAGGGCGTGAGTGGCAGAGGGATCTGAATGTACCTTAAGTGTACTCACTGGTAGAGCACACAGTGACGTAGACAATGTAGATGCAGTATTTACATAAATGCAGTCAGCTTCTGTGTCCAGGGAAGAACGAACACCAGTGGATTGCCTTCTGTGTCTGTTCTGTCACGCAATTACAGATCAAAACTATTTGGTGAAAAATTGGCCTGTAGCAAACTCCTACATAGCATTTAAGTATCATAAGTAATGTAGACGTGATTTAAAGTTTATGATTTAAAGGGTAAGTGTAGGTCTTTTCCAAATGCCATACTTTTTTATATCAGAGACTGGAGTATCCTTGGGTTTGGGTACCCATCATGGGTCGTACAGTCAGTCCTCCATGGATACTGTGGGAGGACAACAGTAAACAAAAGAAAGGGGAAAGAAATGGGCTTAATGCAGCAGAGATTCTGCCTTTTACTGAAAATAACGTAGTATCCAGAAAGGGATTGTGAAAATTAATATACATATGTAATCCTTATCAAAACCACTGAAAAAAGCAAACCAAAACAAACAAAAACTCCTAGAAACAAAATAGTAAAAAGAAAATTAGCAGTGAAACAAAATGGCACAGTAGAAAGTCTTAGCACAAAAGAGTCAGTAAAGAAAGACAAAAAAGACAGCAGATCTACAAAGCAAAAATAGCAAGTATAAGTCTATAATGTCAGCAATTACAAAGTGAATGTCTAAACAAGCCAAACAAAAGGCAAATATTGTTTAAATAATTTTAAAAGTAAGATTCAGCTATGCTTTCTGTACAAGAGACTACTTTAAATTCAGAGACACAGTAGGTTAAAAGAAAAAGGATAGAAAAAGATAAACCATGCAAACAGTAACCATAGAGCTGGAGTGGCTGTATTAAACAGAAACAAAATTGGCTCTAAAACAAGAGACTTTATAGTAGAGACTGACAGGTGTTTCATAACAATAAAAGGATCAACACATAGGAAACGGCAACAGTTACAGATGTGTGTGTCTTGTAATCACCTCAAAATTTATAAAACAACACCTGGATTCAAAGGAAAAATAGGCAGTTCAGTAATAATAAATAGAGGCACCAGTACTCCATTCTTGAGGCTTGGTAGACATTCATATGATAGCGAAGACTCCAACAATATCTGGAACACTACCCACCGACTGCAGAATATACCTTGTTAGCGTGGACTGAACCATTTCCACGACAGATCCTGTGGTACGTTACAATAAGTTTCAATATTTAAAAAGATTGCAGTCATACACTCTACTCTGACCACAATAGAATTTTTGGAGATCAACAACAGAAAGAGGTCTGCTAAATCCACAAATATCTGAAAATTAAACCACACACTTCTAAGGAATTTATGGATCAAAGAAGAAATTCTAAGAAAAGCTCTAAAATAGTATTAACTGCATGAAAGTGAAAACAATACAATTCATGGAATAGAGCTAAATCAGTTATTGAGAAAAATTTATATCTTTAGCTATATACCAGTGAAAAGGAAAGTCCCCAAAATTTAACCTGGCATAAGAAACTATGGAAATAAAGCATAGAAAGCGTCTAAGCAAGCAGAAGGAAGCAAGCAGAAATCAGTAGGACAGAAAAAATAACAGAAAAGAAAAACCAGTGAAGTCACAAATTCTTTGAAAAGATCAGCAAAATTGGGGAACATAAGATGGCTCCTGGGCTGGCCAGGTAGCTCAGCGGATTGAAGTGCCTGCTTAGGCAGGCACAGGGCTGGGGTGCAATTTCCTGGCCTGCCGCGCAGGCCCCACCCCGGGGCATGCTGAGATGGTGACCCAGACTGGGCGTGTAATCCCAGCGCTTGGGAGGCTGAAAACAGGAAGAATCTCTCCAAGTCCAGTCTGTGTAGTAAGACCCTGTAGATTCTGTACTAGATACATTAAAAAAAAAAAAAAAAA